GTTACAGCCTGCCTCAGCAGGGTTGATATGCATTCTTCAACCTTCTCTCTTGGCTCAGCTCCAAACCATCAACTTACTTCTTAAACATCTGTCTTTTAACTCTCCTTCTGGATGGAAGCCTCTGTGGAATGCTGGCTGCAGTCAGCCATCTAGCCTCTGCCTCCATAATTACAAATTTTAAATAAATATTTGTGGTTTTAGATAGAATATTTAAAAAGGAAAAAAATGGATCTTAAAAGCAAGTCAGACAAAAAAAAAAAAGCGATGTTGGAGTCTGCTTGATAAATCAACACAAGGATAAAATGTTATTACAATAAAACCAAATAAAATAGCACAAGGAGAACATCAACTTGATTGGGAATGAATTACTTTTATTAATTATTCAATAATTTAGTCATTACTCATGGACTTATTTATAGTGAAGGAATCAAAAATGGATTGATCTGAAATGTAGATTTGGGGGATGTTTATGGATTTATAATAATTTATTTACCAGTCAAAATGCATAAAGATAGAAATGTAAGAAATAGTAACAGAGAAATAAAAAGTGATAAAACTCTGACAAAGAAATTAAGATAGAGAAAATACAATCAATATATATAGTATAAAAGAAGCCAGATGTGGTGGCTCACACCTGTGATCCTAGCACTGAGGCAGGCTCATGAAGGAGGATCCCTTGAGTTCAGGAGTTCAAGATCAACCTGAGCAAGAGCAAGACACAATTTCTACTAAAAATAGAAGAACTGGGTTGGGTGCAATGGCTCACACTTATAATCCTAGCACTCTGGAAGGCCAAAGGCAGGTGGATTGCTTGAGCTCAGGAGTTCGAGAACAGCCTGGGTAAGTGGGAGACCCTATCTCTACTAAAGATATGGGGAAAATAACTGTGGCAAGGGGTTCACTTGAGCCCAAGAGATTGATGTTGCTATGACCTATGACTCCATGGCACTGTATTCAATGTAATAAAGTGAGATTCTGTCTCAAAAACAAAAAACAAACAAAAAAAGGGCGGCACCTATGGCTCAAAGGAGTAGGGTGCTGGCCCCATATACCAGAGGTGGCAGGTTCAAACCCAGCCCCTGGCCAAACACTGAAAAAAAAAAAATGTATATATATATATATATAGAGAGAGAGAGAGAGAGAGAGAAAGAAAACTGAAGAGACACAAATTGAATATTGGAAGAAAGCAAGCATTAATCATAGATTCATAGATTCACAAGGCAGCAAAAATCCCCAGTAGAATTAAAATGAAATACATCCATATGTAAATTAGTTAAGAAAGAAGGGAATTGAAATCAAACTAATAGAAAGAAGAAAAAAAGAAAAACATTGCAAAATCCCTGAGAGTAAAAAGATGCTATAAATAAGTTTATGTAACAATGTTATGTTACATAAATAGCATATGTTATGTGACAATTTTAAAGAAATGGAAAATTTCCATGAAAAGTACAACTATTGCAAAACTGACACTACAGAAACACTACATGGTTCTATATCCATTCGAGAAGTGCTTGTAATTCAAAACCTTTGTGCAAATGAAATGATCAGTCCCCATGCCATTACTAGTGAATTTCACCAAATATTTATGGAAGCAATAACATTGACATTCCGTTAGCTATTTTATAGAGTACAGGAAGAAGGAATACTTCCTGACTAGTTTTTTGGAACCAGCGTAGTACTGATACCAGGCACAATTCTTGATACTGTAAGAAAAGGAGCAAGAGCAAGATCCTGACTCTAAAACTAGCTGGGTGTGGAGGTGAGCCCCCATAGTCCCAGCTACTCAGGAAGCTGAGGCAGGAGGATCAATCACTTGAACCTGGGAGTTTGAGGTTGCTGTGAGCTATGACTCCTTGGCACTCTACCCAGGGTGACAGACTGAGACTCTGTCTCAAACAAAAAAGCAAAGAAAAGAGGAGAGGAAACGGGAGAGGAGGGGAGGGAAGGAGAGGAGAGGAGGGAAGAGAAAATCTAAAGATTCAAAGTAGCATTCTAATGTGCATGCATGTTGTTCCAGCTAAAATGTGAAAATGTCATTTGTAAGGTAGATGAAAACCTGTCCAGTTGGACAGTTCCATGAGATCACCCCAGCCCCTCAGATGCTGTCCTCAAGCCCTGCCCCATGTCAGTATTATGAGCACTTGACAAACTATTGTGCCAAAGTCTGTCACCCTTTTTGTTTTCATTTTATAAAATAATTTATTCTGGCTCAGTGCCTGTAGTTCCGCGGCTAGGGTGCCAGCCACATACACCAGAGCTGATAGGTTCAAACCCAGCCCCGGGCCTGCCAAACAATGATGACAGCTGCAACCAAAAAATAGCCAGTGTTGTGGTGGGCACCTGTAGTCCCACCTGCTTGAGAGGCTGAGGCAAGAGAATCATTTGAGCCCAAGAGTTGGAGGTTGCTATGAGCTGTGATACCACAGCACTCTACCCAGGATGACATAGTGAGATTCTGTCCCAAAAAGAAAATAATAATAATAATTTATTCTATGGGCACTGGTGAAAAGCTCTGGTTCCATGAGTAAATACTGACTTAAATCACATACTAAAACTTTTCCAACTCTTTAACATATGTGTGACAACATGGGGAGTCATCTGTTTTCTGAAAAGAGACAGTTAAGCCAAGATGTTCATTTTGAAATACCACAGTGCTGTGTATGCACCCAGCCCACTTCAGGAAGCATAAGGGACAGGGAATGCCAGGAGGTAGAGCAGGCTCTGGGATACTACTCTCTCATCTCAGTGTGTTCCCTCTGGGATAAGTCACTGCACTCCATCTCTATAATGCATGTCTCTGCAAGTATATTAAATAGCAACAAAAAGTTAGAAAAATGAGGCTCATAATTTCAACTCTATAATAGAAGTAGTTTATGGCTTACTAATATGTCAATAAAAGATTAGTCAGAATAAAATGACTATTTTATCCTTGGTATGCAAAATGCTTGGCTCATCATAAACCCTAAAAAACACTTTTTGGACACAGTCTTATTCTGTTGCCCTGGGTAGAGTGCCCAAGAGTCATACCTCACAGCAATCTCAAACTCCTGGGCTCAACAATCCTCTTGCCTCAGCCTTCCAAGTATTTGGCACCTGTCACCATGCCTGGTTAGTTTTTCTATTTTTAGTAGAGACGAGGTCTTTTCCTTGTTCAGGTTGGTCTGGAACGCGTGCGCTCAAGAGATCCCCCCACCTCGGCCTCCCAGAGTGCTGGGATACAGGCTTGAGGCACTGCACCCAGCCCAAAAAACATTTATTGGATGAATAAATAAACTTTGTAAAAAGAATATGTCCATATTTACAGGTTTTTAGAATTATCCAGTGTGTATAGAAACAATTAAGATGAAAAAGTCACCAGGACTAAAAATACAATTTGGGGATGCCTGAGTAGAAGAAAATTAAAGCAGTTCCATCATCTGTGGGTAATTTGAACTGTGTGTACAAAAGCAGGATATAAATGAAGAACAGATACTCAGCCAGAATCTGAAATATGTCAGAGCTCAAAACAGGATTCTAGCCATTTTAGAGATGGAATCACAGCAGAAGAACAACATTTTGCTTATACACATAAATTATAGATATTTTCTCTGTCTTTAAACCCATGCTCATACATTCATGTTAACGTCTAGAGCACTATATTTAAGATAATTCTATGTTGGCTTGGTGCTTGCTTGTAGCTCAGATGCTAGGGCGCCAGCCACATACACTGGAGCTGGCGGGTTCAACCCAGCCTGGGTCTGCCAGACAACAATGACAACCACAACCAAAAAATAGCTGGGTGTTGTGGCAGGTGCCTGTAGTCCCAGGAGGCTGAGGCAAGAGAATTGCTTAAGCCCAGGAGTTTGAGGTTGCTGTGAGCTGTGACACCGTGGCACTCTACTGAGGGTGACACAGGGAGACTCTGTCTTAAAAAAAAAGAATACTTCTATGTAATACCCTCAAATATTCAGTTCTTCTCCTATAATGCTTCTATTATAGTGATATTGTTTGAATAGAACCACATAGATTCTGATAAATGACAAGATGTTGCAGACATTACAAAGACAGCATTTAAAAAGAAATGGTGCCTAAATAGTCTCTTGGTGTTGAGATGATCCCTGTAAATATACCCTACATACATGCACACACCCCCACATGTCATAATTTGGAGATTCGATTATTTTTCCTAAGAAAATTTATCATCCAGTGAGCATATTTAATAATGATTTCTGAAACTATTAAATCTGTAAGCATTTTACACCATATTTTAGTTCATATTAACTTTGAAAAGTAAGGCAGATTATACTCAGTAACTTTAGAAATAGAGTATAAACCTATGTAATTCATACATAGTTTCAAGAAAAAGTAAACTGGCTGCTAAATAATGTGGTGGATATTTAGTCAGTAAAGTGTCTATTTCTGCATTTTATTTTAGCTGAAGTGCACAATAGAAACTACAGGACAAAGATGAGATAATGTGATCTTTAAACAAAGTTGTAAAAGTCAAGACAATAAATTTGGTCTGTAACAACCATTTCTAGGTTTATCTGGCTTTAATAACTCCATCGCATAAACGTTAAGTGATGATTATGCTACTGTTTGCAAAATGTTTAATGTTTAGGCAAATTCTATATTCATTTGAAAAAGTAATCAGAATACTCAAATAAATTTGTAAGCGTAGAGGATAGTGAAACATGCAAGAATTTACTACCATGCTTAGGTCTGGCTATCAAATAGCATTACAAAGAAATAACATTATTTATATAGTAAAAATTTCCATTTTATTTCAAGGCTTAATATGAGATTGTGTTGTTTACCTTTATATTTATTTTCCAATATACTACCTCTAAATGAATTATAATGTAGCTTATTCTAATTTAATTATAGCACTAAATTGGATCTTTTGCTATCTTGTTACATTTATTTGGGTTGTAAATTATGTAACAGCAGAAAGATTGGCACTAATGTGATTATAGATTATAGACTCTAGTGTGACACTTGTTACAGAGTAACATGCCTACCATGGTGGTCTCTGCGATGGAGCCAACGCTGTTGATGAATATGTTGCATGTGACGTTAACTGGAGGGCCTGGAAAAGAGATGAAAACATTAAGGGTGTTCAGAGACTTGCCTGTAATATTTTCACGTACTTCTTGCTAACCATTACTTAATCTCTCATGGTCTCAGTTCCCATAATCTAGATATCTCTAATGGCTCTGTGAATGCCTAATTTAAAGTCCAATATCTGGGCTCCTTCAAAGACAGTTTCTCTCAGTCTTTGCCCCATCATGCATGGGCTGTATATGTTTCTATTTTTCTGCTCTTCTCATAAATTTGTTGAAAATTGAATACTTTTTTTTTTTTTTAGATAATATGGTAAAGCAACTCTGGAAACCAGACCCTCCCACTTCCAGCCCACAGTTTGTGTTGCTGGTTTTTCTTATTCTTATTCTTGGTGATGTAGTGACTTACCTGGACTGATACTGTAAAGTTTGTATTTCTCTGTTGTGCACAGCCACTGAGACCTCTTTGCTTTGTGAGTTTGCTGGTCAACTAAACTGGCTGGAGATTTCTAAGGTTTATTGCCTTGAGCCAGTAAATCTTCCACCTTTT